TCCTGCCGACGAGGTGAGCGTCACAACTAGAATATGATCAGGAATACTCACCCGCAGCTCCTTGTCCCCCTCCTTCCGGGTCTCCTTCTCGGCGCGGTAGTCCATCCTGAAGGCCGCTCGGTCCTTCTTAGCCGCTTTCGCCTTCTTCGCATCCACCGTAGCGTCCGGGGTGTCCAGCTTCAGGATCCCTTTGCGCCCGGCTTTGCCTACAATCTCTATGTCAGTCAGGGACACATTGAGACGGTGGACAACTCACGCTTGCCCTTTGACTTCGCCGAGACCCTTTCTTCCTCTTCCTCCTCCTCCTCCTCCTCCTCCTCCTCTTCGAGCTCCTCCTCGTCGGTCGAATCTTCAAACTGGGGGCGGGCACGATCCTTGCCTTTCTTCGACCGTGGCGGAGTCGCTGCGCGTTTGCGCTTCTTGGATGCAGCCGTGCTTCCAGTCGACCTCTCGCCACCGGTCTTCTTCCCCGTGTCCCGGGATCGCCTGGGCTCCTCTTCATCGATCTCCATGCGATCCTCCTCCATCGGTATCTCCTCTTCTCCATCCGAGCCGTCTCCCGCAAGCTCCTGGAAGCGCACCGCGGGGCCCCGGCGAGACGGACCGGGTGCTGCATTCGTTGGGCCCGGTGCAACATGAAAGCCGGCCGGAGCGTCGGGATTGTACCAATCGCAATCCGGCAGGCGCTCATCGTCCGGACTGATGTTGGACAGGCGAACCGGGACGCCGACGGCATCGACGACGTTGATCTCCACAATGGCAGAGAGCAGCAGCAAGGGGACCAGAGGAGGCTCCCCCACCGACTCGCAGAGGGTGATCTGCTCCATGACATCGCGCTAATACACCCAGTAAGCATTGCGAGTTTGATGAGCTGCCCGCATCACTTACCAGGAGTGCCTGCAGCTCTTCGAGCTACCGAGTTGATGTCAATAAACAGGAAATAGTGAGATCGCGTGAACACTCACTATTTCCTCCAGCTTTTTCTCCTCCTCATCCTCATACACCAGGCGCCCTCCGAGCATCTTGAGCAGGCGGTTGTTTGCGTCCTGGAGGTAGGCGGCTATTTGTTCCGGCGACATTGCGGTACTCGGAGGCACGTCATTGTTGGCCGATGGGGCGGTGGCGGTGGCGGCGTCGGTCGACATGGCTTGGGAGGGCAAATGCGAAGCAGAGTTACGAAAGCGAGGGGAGAGGGCGGGCTGAGAGCTTGCAGGCGAGCTGATGAGAGCAGGAAACAAGCGACGCGAAGCCACACCGATCGCGAAGTCCAACGTGGCCGGTCACGTGCACCCGGCCGGCCGCGGGACGTTTAGCCGAACATGAACATTGTGATGGCGCGTCGCGCCGTTCTTCCCATCCGTTCTCTATCATCTTTCCTCGCCTTTCCTCGCGCTACACTCATGTCTGCTCAAGGTAGGTCTCAGCACGCATCTCCGCATCATTGCTGACTTCTCCGGCCAGATTCTACCACTCCACTCGCATCCGGCGAGCCAAATGTGGCTGCGGCGAAGCGACCGGCGTCTCAGGAGCGGGTGGCTATCCAGCCTCAGGTAAGCCAATACTACCTACGAGGATTTGGCTGCTAACACCACTATTCCATGTCCGCATGCAGGCTCCAATTGTTGGTGCCGGGGATGCGAAGGTGGGAAAGTACTTGGTGCGGCCGGGAGGCTTCAATGTGCCGATGAAGCGTAAGGGCTCGCATGCCCCGCAAGATAAGGTATGTGCATTTTTTGTCCTAATGCTACGCCATAACACTGAGCGTCGAGTACGCAGGAGCGATCTCCATCGGTCCGGCGCAACACGCATCCTGCCGATGCCGATGAATCATCTGAGGCCCCGGTGAAGCGTCTCAAAGCTTCGGTAAGTGCTCAGACTACGCTCCGTGTGCACATAACCCGTGTTGACCACGACGATGCACCAGTTGATCACCACACAAGAGGGCCCCACGCATGCAGATAAGGTTGGTGCGGGCATCTCGGAGGCACTGCCAGGTCCTGGCAGCATAAATGCGGCAAGGGAGGTAAGTACTGTTCACACTCCCACTGCCCATGTTTGCGTTTCTCGCTCTAATCACTTCGATGTACCACCCTGTAGGAAAATCAGCAACGGGCACAAGTGGCTCCCGGGACCACGATCAAGCTCGGAAAGTTTGGTGTTCCCTTCAAAAGAATGCCGAAGGTATGTCGTGCACACTGCGTGGGCTGTTCGACGCTTACGAAACTTCGTATTCGCGTTCACAAAGATGCCAGGGACATCGGCCCATGCTGGGCAGGTTACGCCAGCTGCCCTTGTAGCACATCCGGCCGCATCCGGCGATCCCGAGGTAGCAACGCGTGAGCCGGAGGTTGCTATCGTAAGCCACACCAAGCCGGCCGGGAGAAGCACACGCGAGAACACTGACGTGGAGGTCGTGGACGAGGCGAGCCAAAATGTTGCAGAGAGTGCCAACCGCAAGTCCGCGGCCCCTGTCCCCGTGGCTACCAAGCCTCGCCCACGCCCGCGCGTATTGAGGGCCCCTCGGCCCGATCCGTTTGGCCCAGCCGTAGTGGGTCAGGACAAAGTTGCTCCGCCTGTCGGCCTGGCGGAGCGATTCCGGTCTCAGGGTGAGGGATCAAGCTACCACGTCGGGGCTAATGCCGCGGTTGAAGGTGACCGGGTGTCGCACCACAATGCAGCTGAGCATGGCGGGGCCCCGGATCCGAGTCATCTTGAGGGGAACGAGGTCATGGCTTCGGTAGGTGCTCATGCCATCCTGTCTCATATATACTCATCGTTAGCGTCAGCCTTCCGAGATTACGCAGGTCGTCCTGAACAGGACTGAGCACGGTGAGTCTTGTTTGTAGATACAGTTCTAAGCTGCCTGGTTCTCGGCACTGCACCGAGTGTCATGTGCGTGACTCCAGCCGAAGCTCGTATAGTCGCCTGCTCAGCGGCGTCGACTCGGGCATGCATCCGGACTGTATGGCCACCGGGTGTCAAGTCTGATGACGCCGTGTTTATAGCGTACCGAGTACACGACGAGACCATGCTGCTTGGCAGGGAAGAAGACCCGTTTTTCACGTTTTCGGTGACAATGACTGATTGTCACGATCCGGAAAATCACTTGTGGGAGGCAGACAGTCACCCTGATGTGGACTGGCCGCCAAATTGTACTGTCGTGTTTTCCAGGGCTTGATTACCTGATTCGCTGACATATCCATACTCAGTTCCCGGACCAGCCTTCACTGGTGCCACACCGACACGAGTCGCCGAGCTCCAGGCGGAGAAGGCAATCATCATGGCTCGCATTGACGCGCTTACCGCGCTTCAAGCAGCCAACAATCGGAATCACCGCGCCGTTGACTGGGTGACGGAATACTATCAAACGCGGGGTCGGTCGGGGTAACGGGCATAGTCGTATTGTGTGTAGTAACTCGTTGGAATGATCTGAATGCTATACTGGTCCCTCAGACTGAACTCGCCGCATGATACCTATCACGGATGGGCACTGAATATAAGTGGTAAAACGGTCGGTGTGTGACAGTCCGATCCGTCAATACGTCGGGCCGAGCCCACCCAGCCAGCCCTGGGTAGGTGCTGCAGGCCGTATGCAACGCCGGCCGGACCGTCGAAACGTCGGGCCGAGCCCACCCAGCCAGCCCCGGGTAGGTACTGCAGGCCGTATGCAACGCCGGCCGGACCGTCGAAACGTCGGGCCGAGCCCACCTACCGAGCCCCGGGTACGGCCGACAGGTTACATCAATCGCCGGCCGGAACGTCGAAACGTCGGGCCGAGCCCACCCAGCCAGCCCCGGGTAGGTACTGCAGGCCGTATGCAACGCCGGCCGGACCGTCGAAACGTCGGGCCGAGCCCACCTACCGAGCCCCGGGTACGGCTGACAGGTTACATCAATCGCCGGCCGGAACGTCGAAACGTTGGGCCGAGCCCACCCAGCCAGCCCCGGGTACGGCCGACAGGTTACATCAATCGCCGGCCGGAACGTCGAAACGTCGGGGCGAGCCCAGCCAGCCAGCCCTGGGTAGGTACTGCATGCCGTATGCAACGCCGGCCGGACCGTCGAAACGTCGGGCCGAGCCCAGCCAGCCAGCCCTGGGTAGGTACTGCATGCCGTATGCAACGCCGGCCGGACCGTCGAAACGTCGGGCCGAGCCCACCTACCGAGCCCCGGGTACGGCCGACAGGTTACATCAATCGCCGGCCGGAACGTCTCAGCAGTACTGGAACTGGCATTCTGAGATACCGGCCACCACGTCTGGTAGGCATTCATGGTTGACAGGCCGTCACGCTTTGAGTGGTTGTGCTCACTCGCCGGCCGGAGCGTCTCATTCGAACAATGTTAATGGACGGCCGAGCCTACCCAGACGTGTGGGGGAAACCCATGCATCCTGGCCACCACACCGCCCATGGCATCCGTTCAGCGTCGGCCGCCACGTTCCCAGCATTCCACGGTGCCACCGGCCGGAACGCTTGCATCGACCGACTGCTCGCTCCGGTCGGCCTCCGGGCCAACGTTCCAGACGGCCGAATCTCACTCCGGGTTTACCGTTGGTAACGGGTTAGACACACTAAATAATGTGGGGCGTACACAGGATGTTCGCCATCGCAGCGAGGCGGAAGGCCGTGTAGCACCTCACCCCTCCTCGCCCACTCACCTACTCACCTGCTTGATCACGCACCTGCCACTCTTGCCCGGCCACCCATTCGCCTGCTTGCATGCACCTTCTCGGCGACAACTGTGAGCGACCAGTACGATCAGTGCTATACTTCGAGATGTTTACTATGATGGGATATGTTACTGTATGTTGGCTTATGGACCTATATTACTACCATTCTATCGTGTACTATGCTATCCTATGTCGATCATGGTGGCACTATCACGCACTATAGTCTCGGTAAGCATACTATACTGTACTATACAAACAGGGGTTTCCGATGAGCCTATACCAGCTATGTCCCCTATATTGGCAAACATAGGGATTCTCTTTTTTCCTGATGACTTGATGACCATGTCGTCCTTATCCATGGCGACCTCTCGACGCTCGAGCGTGTGCGCAGCGTTCTTGGGTCACGCGCACTCGAAAAGACACAGTGGCGGCGCCTCCAGTTCGTCGTTATCATCCCTGGCATCTTTCATGGAGTGATGGCCTGTACGGATGGTATCTGGCGGACTTACCTCAAGGACAAGCGGTCACATATGGACCCAAGCAGTACGTTGCATCACGCAGGCATCTTCCGGCCTCAGGACACAGGAAAGATGAAGAAGAACCCACCATTTCGTATGGTGCATGATTTGATCAAGCATGACAGTGTTGCACATCGATTAGACATCTGGCGTGCCGAGGTTTCCTGCAGGCTTCCCGAGTCGAACACCCTTGAGAAGTGGGCAGAAACGAAACCCAATTGGGATAACATTGTTACCATGTCGGAGTGTATGGTCATGCGGTATGTTGCGCAGCCGGGCTTCAAGCGGCATCCAGACACGATTTGTCGTGACATTGTCTTCGAAAACAGTCAGCTTCGCCAGCGTGACTACCTTCTCTACGAAGAGACAACGTACGCGATGAACCACGGAGACATAGGGCGATTAGAGACCTGCTTCGTAACTTGGATATATATCTGGAAAGCGACAGGCAAGAATAAGTATGCGACATACCTCGGTGACTTCATCAAGGACGTCCACTTTGTATACCCCGAACGCCTCCGGTATGTGAGCCACACAGTGCTTGAAATATCAATGCTAGCTACCGAGTGCTTACAATGTTTCTTGTAACAGTCGTGCAATCCGTCTCAATTGGTTGTGTAACCTGCGAGGATTGCCAGATACGTTCCGTGCGATTGATTGGGTTGTAGAGCTCAATAACCTGTACACAAAAGTAAGTCACGACACTGAGTACGAGCAGTGATAGTGAACTCACCATGCGGGATAGCATATCCATGGCGGCGAGTTCTCGAACCGGACCCTCGACTACCTACTCAAAGAATCTGGGCTCATCGATATTTACCAGAGATCTCAAGTCAACATCTCCGACAACTTCTGTATGACAAACTGTACCATCAATCATGCGAAACCGAACATGGTCGAGACATACAAGAAGGTCTGCAATCATATGACAGCAAATCAGACGCACGAGCATGTTGCAGGAAGGACAGAATTGTACGAGGTGAAGGACAAGCTACGGGAAGGCTTTGGAATGATACAGAAGCGGAAGCATACTAGCAGGCGCATCAGGAAAGCGTCACCGTGTCTAACTTGTCCTAACCCGTCTAGCCCACCTAACTTGTGCCTAATTCATCTCACTGTCTAACAACTTTCGGCCTCTGCGGCGAATTACATACCTTCAGCAGAGCAGCCATTCATGTAGATTACACCGATAGATAACAAACAGTATAGTAACCAATCATAGAAATAACATAACATTGCGAGGCGAATACCGTACTACGTACTGCACAAACACTTCTGTTCACGAGATCTACAGGCTCCGATAGACGTGCAGGTCAAGAGGGTGGGTGAACGGTTAATCGGGTGGGCGGACAGGTGGGTGGGTGTCTAGAGAGAGGATGTAGGTACAGGCGACTCACAAGTGGGCGAACGGGCGAACGAGCTGGCGGAAGGGCGAACGGGCGCACGAGCAAATGAGCAAGTGGACCAACAGCCTGAGGGTGCACAAGCGAACGAGCGAGTGGATAAGTGAGCAGGGACATAGTCTTGTCTAGCACGGTCCTGACGGAACGGGGTGCGTCGAGTGACAACACGTCGACACGTCCAGCGGGGTGGATGGGCGGGCGCGAGAAGTGCTGTCTGTCTGCACATCTTGCGGGGCCTCGTCTGCACTTGCCTTTCCATGCGTCGGAGAGACTTGTCCGCCGTGCTTGCAGACAGTGTTGGTCGTTCGTGTCGGTGGGACCTGTCGTGGCCTGGATGCGCGCGTCGACTCGCCGTCACGCGATGACGTGCTCGTGTTCTCTGTTTTGTCTCCATCCTGATTCTGGTCTCTAGGGGCCGTCATGGTGCGATCGAGGCTCGAAGGCCGCCGTAGAACGAAGCGTCCGTGCTTCATCCTAGTACGTGTTTGCGATGTCCGACTCGTCGTGACCCTGACATCGCGCCACAGAGATTGTCTCGCCGGGAGGTGTCGAGGCCAGGACGAGGCTTACGGTGGGACAGGGACCAGGGTACTGTATGTAGAGTCTACATCAGCATTCGCTCGGCTTGGTACGTGGTTGTATTGACCGGATCGTCGTGGTGCTCACCTTGCACAGTGATCGTCGACGGTGCTTGGTGGACGTCTCGCGTTCCGAGTCGGGCGGAGGTTATGAATGGAATACGATCGTGGATCCTCTGTGTCGAGGTCTTCAATGTCTCGTCATAGACCTGGCCCCGGCCAGAGGATCACTGCGGCGACGGGGTGACAGGGCATTGTAGACCCTACATCGGATTTGCCCAGCTTCGGTACGTGCTCGCGTTGTCTGTTTCATTCATTTTCGACCTGATACTGCGCGCTAGGGTGCACCGGTTTGCGGTTGCTCGACCTCGGTGCTTGGCCTGGCGCCTGCGAAGCGACTACTGAGCGTGGTGGTCTCGCACCACTCGGTACTGGTCTGGATGACATCGTGATGTTCTTGTGGTGTCGCTGGTGGGATCTCCAGTGGGCCGGACGTGGTGGGTACGGTGTTGCTCGTGTTTGAGACATGAGCGAGCAGGCCTGTCGTCCACCTTCTCACCTGCCTACTCGCTTACTTGCGTGCACGATGCACGTTCAATGACCGTGTCTGCGCACTGGGCACTTGCCCAATGTGCTCGTGGTTGTTGTACGTGTCGTGCGGCACGACGACACGCCCGCCCACCTGTTCCGGGTCACTCTCCCGCCGAGTCAGCTCCGAGTCTACTCATCGGGCACCTATGCATGCCATCCACTCACCGGACTCCCTGATCACCCTCTCATTCGTCTGATTGCTTGTCTACCTGCACAACCCTCCGCCGGCTCTCCCACTTGTTCGTCCGCCCATCCTTCCGCCCGTGGCCGCAGTCCGCCTGTCGGCTGCGTTTGCACGCGGGGCATTCGCCCGGTGCGCTCGTGGTCGGCGCGTGTGTCAACCGCGTCCCGTGGCCGAGATCAGCTCGTTCGCTTGCTCACGCGGTGACGCGACCGAAAAGAACACAAAAGCCACACAAAAACCCAACCGTGAGGTCGAGCAGTGGTATGCGAGGCCTCTGCGTCTATGAGATGTACGGGGGACTGTACAGTGGTCTAGGTAAGAAGGAGGAGGACGGACAAGACTCCGAACGACGTGGGAGAGCTTCGAAGATGTCAAAGACTGTTCGAAGACGAGGG